AAAAAAGTCAGCAACAACAGTATGCTATCGACAAAAATAAATCGAGCAATTTTCCCTCAGGTCACATTGATTGAAACTACCAAATCCAGACAAAAAATAAAAATAAAAAAAATCTTCTAATTTTTTTATTTTTTTTTCTTTGGCCCGGCCAGGCAACCGATCCTGGGCCACCATGGTAGCGCAGATTGTAAGCACATAACGAACAGGCAAGGATGGGCTTAAGCCACGAGTACTTGGCTGGAATCCCCCTGCAGGCCGATTTCTGCCGAAGCGACGGGGTACCGTTTCATTTTTCTTTTTGGCTGGCGCTTCCAGCAGTTGAGGTCCGGTACTCCAAAGCCCTAAATCCACGGCGCGTTCACCAGGAAGCGCCGTGGCCGGTAGCTGGGCCAAGTACTGGCGGTTTAATGATTTTTCCCACTACAATCCATCCCTGCAAATACACTTCGCCTCTTGTTTTCACTTATACTGTGATTGGGAACGAGCTCACATCTATTGCACATCCCCTGGAATGAGGATTTTTTTTTTTTTCAGGGACGGACCCGGTGCCCAAGGCTGATATTATCAGTAAGAAGGATTGTGGCATTCAGGAACAGTACCCCTGGCGGTGTGAACAGATGTTTGTGGGGCTGTCCACGGTTGAAAGGGCCCTCATGAAGCGCTCCTGGGGGTGGGGGATTGACGTGTGAGGGTTGTGGCACGCCCCCCTTGCCCTCTCGTCCACAACAAACGGGAAAACGGATTTTTTTCCTGTTTTGGGGGGCAGGCCCTGGGGAGTATATCGAACACGGAAAAAAAAAAAAAAAAAAAAAAAAAAAAAAAAAAAAAAAAAAAAAAAAAAAAAAACACACAACCACACACAAAAAAAAAAAAAAAAAAAAAAAAAAAAAAAAAAGTGCTATGTGGATGTCTGATTTTTCTAAGTAGTTTCTGGGTGTCCACGGAGGCACTTCTATGAGGTGCCAAACAGTGGATGGCAGGTTGTGTGGAGTGCCTGCAGCACTATTCTGCGGGCTGCACTGTTTGTGATGTCTGTGTTGCAACATATGGTTTATGGATGATGAATCTGATGACAGACGCCCGTCGGGGGCTGGCTTCCTAGCTCAGCAGGTGGTGCTAACCAACAGTGTCGAGGTTCTTCTTGTGGTGCGAGTCGGCGCTGAACTGCTTTAGTTCATTTTAGATGTGTGGGCTGCCTTCTCTGCGCCCACACCCTTTGCCTTGTGCTGTCTTTCTGCCCAGCACCAGCTGCCTGTCATATGCCCTCCACCCTATCTGCCTGGCAGCAGCTTGTCGTCCGTTGCCCCGTCGTCTCGTCACCCTTCCCCTCCCTGTATGTTGCCTTCCCGGCATTTGTTGTACTGCCTTTCGAGCTCGCTGTCTTCTCTTCCCATATTTGCTTGCCTGCTTGGCTAGGCGTCCGCCGCCTCGCTGCTTTCTGCTCCATTGTCTTTACCTTGCCGCTTTGGGCTCACCCCCCTTTGACTTTCCCCTTGCTGCCTTATGGCCTAGCACCCTCAGGCTCTAGTCCTTTTCCCTCACTACTGCTGCCCTCAGCTTTTGTATATTTCAGGTGTAGGTCCGTTTTGGTCTAACCATCTGAAGCAGACGAGTCTTTTTTTTTTTTTTTTACCTCGCTTTTCAACGCCGGTTGCTGCAATTGCTATTATTGTGGGGGGATAGTCACACACACACACACACACACACACACACACACACACACACACACACTTGCACAGACACCATCATACACATCCCAACTTTTTCTTTTCTGCGCCTAGGTGTGCTTCACCATGTTCACTATACACAACTCCACAAAAAAAAACAGGACCGTACCAGACTGTTTTGTCATGCTGTATGTTTCTGTGTGTGTGTGTGTGTGTGTGTGTGTGTGTGTGTGTGTGTGTGTGTGTGTGTGTGTGTG